CGTCATTATAAGGTGGACACTCATTTCGTCCCATTACTTTTCGTCCCCTTACACTACGTCCCATTCATTTCGTCCCAAATTCCTTTTGTCCCAGTGTCATTTCGTCCCATACACTTTGTCCCAAACTCGTTGGCCGGATACACTATGTCCCTCTAGGGGTGTGGGTGTGGATGTGGGTGTAGGTATGGAGTGTCGGTGTGGGCGTGGATGTTAGTGTAGGTATGGGGTGTCGGTGTGGGTGTGGGTGTACGTCTGCAGTAAAAGAAGATCCACACTCACACCCCTAGAGGGACATAGTGTATCTGGCAATCGAGTTTAGGACGAAGTGTATGGAACGAAATGACACTGGGACAAAATGAATTTGGGACGAAATGAAAAGGGACGAAATGAGTGAGGGACAAAATGAATGGGACTTAGTGTAAGGGGACGAAAAGTAATGGAACGAAATGATAGGGAGCTCATTATAACCATCATTATCATCACCATCATCAAAATAATATTAATGATTTACCATCATTATTATCCATCAATCCCTTCCATCTACCATCACGTCATCATACCCGCTCCTTCCAACAAGCTCAACAATTCCATCCCCACCATCATCAATATCATCAACCCCGCTCATCATCACGTTCCCGTTTCCACCTCTTATCACAATTACCATCACAGTCCCGATCCCGTTCATATCCACGTCCATCATTACCACCACCTATTAAACCTTGCCGTGCTCATCAGCAATAACAACAATTTAATCGTCCCCACTATCATCATCAACATCAACGTACTCAATCACCATCACCCTCATTTAATATTAATATTAATAGTAATAAAAAATGAACAATTACAACGAAATTGAACGTACATTAAAGGGCATCGTATTATCCGATTCTATGTGTTCACGATTAAGAACTTATGCCATTCGTAAATTACCCCAATATGATGTTGAATTATGTTATGAATCAGGATGTGATATTATTACAATGATACAATGGTTACGCACACCTGAAGGTCAAAGTACGGTAGGAAATAAGGATTTTATTGTTTTTTGTTTGGGTACTAATGATGTGGGGCGGCACGGTGTCGATGTTTCTCTGCGGTGAGTTAGTGAGCTCATAAGTTTTGTTCGTCAGTCATACCCAGGCAACTGGGCCATTGGTTGGTTAGCTTTGTATCCAAGATGGAAACCAACGAGATTCGTCTCTGCGGCCAACATCGGAGCACTGCATAATCAATTTAATGAGCGTCTTCTGATCTTATCCAAGCAATTGGATTTTGATGTTGTTGACGCGCGTCTAGGACTTGCGGATATGCGTGTAGAGGATGGGCTACATCCATCCAATACCACTGGCAAATGGAAATATGAAGGAGCTATTCGTGAATGGTTCTCTTCTCGTGCTGTCGCACACTCTTTTCTATATTTTCAGCGTCGTCGATATCCATTACAAGCAACACAAACTACACCAACGACGACCACAACATTACAAATTAATGATAATAATAATATGTATATCCAACGGCAATATCAACCTCATCGAAATAATTATTATCAACAACAAAATAGAATAAGGTCAGTAACAACTCCTTTAAATAATATTAATAGTACTCAGCCCTTCTTAGTTATTCCGGATAGAGTAGTAGAACACTGGAATAGAAATTATAATAGACAACATCCCAATTTTCCATCGAGATCTTTGATCCAGTTTTATCCCCACAAGTTAAGGACAAAAGAACAGTTTTTTAGAGATAATCAACCCCCGAAAGAGATAGAAAACGAAAAAGAAAAGGTATTTTTAATAGCTAATATGTATTACCAACAGAGACACTATGAAGAAGAGAGTAAGAAATGGAAAATATATGAACAGGTAGCTAGTCGTAAGGAACAAACCCCAAATAGAGATGGAGATGATATTTTAATGGTAGACACTGAAGAAATACCCCAAGCAAGACCCTTCCGAGAAAGATACTCAGCAATCCTTAATATGACAGTTAGCGATACAGATAGTCAGAGTAATGAAAATAGTAATAGTGAGTACCAGGAAGAAACTAGCGATAATAATGAGAATAGTGAGACGGATGAAGAAGATAGAAAGAAAAGAAAGTTAAGAGATATTAGCATATCACCCACATCCAAGGAAAAAACAGATAAAATTAGTATAAGAAAGAAAAAATCAAAATGTAAGAAGAAAAAGAAAGTTCCCATCGAAAATGACCCACGAGCCCCAGAAGGTAGCCCCGTTTTATTAGTGAGTGAAAATAATAGTAAAGAACAGATACCCCAAATAGAAAAAAAGATAAGACCAGATATTCCAG